AGATGAAAATAAAATCCTTTACCTCCATTCTCATGATAATCCTATTGTTTCTGGTCGTGATACTCATTACATGCTGAAATCTTAAATCTCTGGCCTGAAGACCTAACTCTTGGTATAACTCAGTTTTCTTCTTTTCTATAAAAGAAACAAAAAGAGTGGGCTCAACTAATAAATTAGAGTTTAGATTTTTGTATCTGAGCACTCCCCACACTACCATCAAGATAATTTTCTATTACTACCAGAAACAAAAGCTAAAATGAGTCTCTTTAATACCCATTTTTACCTCAAAAACATACTTAGGCTAAATCTGGTCAAACTAATTATTTTATTCTCTTATGCATACTTTGCAAATTTCTCAGTACTTATAAGTCCCGTGGGCCTAATATAGAAACCACAACTATGCAACACTAAACCTATAATATCTATTTCTAGCTCCAGAGATAGGTCATCTTTCTTGAATATGAATTATACACAATTACATTTTCTATTTTTTCTCACTACATCATCTCCAGTATTTTAAATCTATGAACAGATAAATTTGATTTACTTTGCTTTTTAACTAATACAAAATGACAAAGTCAGTTCTCACATCAGATTCTCCTACCTGAAAACTAAATTTATTACCTGAGAATGCACAACAGATGAGAGAAAGTCAAGAAATTATACTGATTATAGTATCTGTAATTGTATACAACTGTGACAGAGCTGTATGTAGAACAATCTTTTAAAGGAGATAACAAAAAACACCCAAAATATTCCACTAGGATTTCAGCAATGGCAGGAACAGGATCATGCGGCTGAAAGTGGAGATCTGAAACTTACATCTGAAGTCACACAGTAAAAACGATACCTAATTTCACTTTAAAAAGTAGCTATCCACAGATAGCAACCAGCAGCAGAGTTCCATGTGATTGCCACCAGTGACCTGTCCCTCCCCATCTTTCATCACCGATTGCAATGTCAGTGGCATTATGTGATTCTGCCTTAAGCATGCTTCAGGAGAATGAATATGAGGAGGGCAGTGAAAGGGAGAGACTAACAAGAGATACAAAAGGGAAAGGTGTGTGTGTGTCTCTGTGCTCTAGCTCTCCAAAATATTCCTTTAATATTCTGTTAGAGCAAAGTGTCTCCTGCCAGAAGAAAGCAATTCTGGGAGAATACGCACAGTCTGAGTATTGCCAGTTCCAATTAGGACTGATAGACAAATGCTGAAGAAAGATCTCCTTCAATACACCTGTATACACAAAGAATACTCTATTCAAAACACTACAATTTCTTGATTTCCACAAGATTCACTCATTCACTGTTTAAAAAAGTGATTTGGAATAAAGATACTCACCAAAAGAAGTAACCTTTCCCTTTTTGTCAAACTTTGTCTGAAGATAGAGAATAAAAAATTATTATTTGCTCTCAAATTAGTATATTCTTTATGATATTATGAGTAATATCCCCCAAATGCTGAAATGCAGATATAAACCATAACTTACTTTCTTTAGGTTAAATCTAGTTACAAGTTAAGGGTCTTAGAAAAAAAATCCCCTTTCCTTTGCTAAGACAAATCTGACCTTGGTTTAACTTTCTATCTTGGCTCCCCTAGAAATCTGATAAAAGAGTTATCAGTCGTGTTACGATGGAAACACTGCTTATGGTAAAAATGACCACTGACTGGTAGACTACATTGGACTGGGAAGAATGTGAATGAATTACAGATACCAGGTGGAAAGTAATAGCTCTGCCCTTTCCTGAGAGTGGTGGCTCTTCTAGTTGGCTATGTTCATCATGGAGGCCCTGGAAGCTGTGTCTCTGACGTGGTTACCAACGATACTGGCACTATGGAGCATGGGGATTCTAAGCCAAGGTGGATCTCACACCCACTTAAGAATCTGTTTTGCATCTGAGCTGCCACTTATGGGTCAGAGAAGCCCCTTGATGGCTGCAAGGATTTCTTTTGAAGAGGAAACACCTGACACTGCCCTGCTGATTCTCCTGTCCTTTATCCTTCTGAGTGTAGAACCAAGTGTGGCCTGTCTCATGAATCTAAATATCTACATGAGGCTAAGAAGTCTCTCTGGGAGTCCTTGTAGAAACAATAAAGATTTACAGAACCTCTTCTGATAGTTTGAAGAGAGGATACAATACAGAAAATGCACTTATTTCCTGCAGAGTAGAGGAATATTTTTCTGTAATACTTATCTACAGTCAAGTTTGAAGTTCTCAAATATTTAATAAATCACTATGTGCTGAGCTATACTAATTACTATGAAATACACTTTTTCAGATAGACACACTGGAAGATACAGACAAGCTTTTATCCTTAACATATACATAAATACACTGCAGAAAATGTGAAAATAAAGATATGCAAAGCTATTTTAATCACCGGAAATGACAAATTTTAGAGAAAAGCATGTTAATATTTCACTGACTGTCCTTCCAGACTTTCCTATAAAACATGCTGCACACATTGCTTTGCAGTCTCTCCCCCACTTCCACCTTAGCAACATATGCTGAATATTTTTGCATCTCAATATTTATCTGTACCATTTTCTCTTTAATGGGATTTTTATTTTTTTAAAAAGATGATACAAACTATAATCTTTTAAATATTTACTTTGTAACCAGTTTACTTTCTAAACTCATTATATCAAATAGCATCAACTGAATTTCTTAAGTGTTCTTGGTAGACAATTATTTGATCTGCGAAGAACTTTCAATATTTAACATCTGACTTTGTATTCTTAACTGGCCAGCTCTTCCGGAACAGTGAATAACAGTAATAACTTTTACCTGCAATTCTCGGAGTTATCTAGTTCTGTATAAAACTCTTATGTTGATAAGCTGAAATAATCATAATAATAATGGCTAATATATATTGGATGCTTAGTATATGTGAGGCACTGTTTTAAAGGTCTACATATATGAGTTAATTTAATCCTCATACCAATTGCAAAAGGTAGATTATCCTCAGTTTACAGAGGAGAAAACTAAGGCACAAGATGTTATCATAACTTGTCCAAGTCTACCTAGTCAACAGTGAGAGGCAGAGCTGAGAATGGAATTTAGGAAGACTGGCTCAGGGCAAACACACTTATTCTCTTAATCAAACCTTTACGTCTTGAAAAGATTAAAAACCTATAAAAAAAGTTGCAAGATTATAACGAATTCCTATATAACTTTCACCTAGTCACCTTTGTTAACATTTTGCCCCAATGGCCTTATTTCTCTCTCTTTTAAAAATGTGTGTGTGTGTGGTGTTATTTTATTCATTCATTTTCTGAACCATTTCTGAGAAAGTTGCAGATCATGACCCTTCAAGGTATGCACTTTTTTTTTTTTATTAAGAGCCTGGGTCTCACTCTGTCACCCAGGCTGGAGTG